GTTGGACGCAGCTGCCATCAGACCCAGCAGTCTCTGAAACTGCTTGACAGTGAGTGACCGGCCTTCTCTGACTCTTGTGACTGCGGTGAGGATCGACTCGATCCGAGCAGGAGACCTGCGTGCCTGCATCGTGGTCGAATCCCACACCACGCCCAGATAAGTGGTTCTCTGTACTGGAGAAAGCACACTTTTCTTGGCATTAAGTCTTAACCCCAGCTCTTTCGTGTGAGCGAGAACGACATCTCGATGTCGAACCGCCATCTGCTCTGATAGAGCTAATATCAACCAATCGTCGATGTGGTTGAGTCATGAAAGTGTGGGGTGAGAGTGCAAGGCCAAAGGAAGAACCGGTATTTGCAGGATTTTGCCCCCAAAAGCAAACCTAAAACCTATGATGAGGAAGGATGGAGATATGTGCATCTTTTAGATCGATCGTGACACATCAGTCCTCGGACTTGGTCTGAGACACGACCTGTTTGAGTGCGAGTGTGCTGAACTTCAGTCCCCTGACTGAGCGGTTAAAAAAACGCAGATCTAAAATAGGACGCAACCCTTCATCCTTCCTCGGAACGTTGAAGTACCGACTGTAGGACCCGGACTCTGCTACGTGAGCAGGGACCACTTCGATGGCCTCTGTCCTCAGAGAGTGTCTACTTCTGTTCCATTACCAGAGCCTGCTCGGGGCCCACCAGGGTGGGAAAGGCCCCGTTGAATTGAGGCGGAGGAGAACCGAACTGGATTCTGTGGCCTCTCACTACAGTGTGCAAGACCCACTGAGACACGTTTGGCAGTAGTTTTCATGCTGCCAAATAGTCTACTAAGGGAATCAGTCTCTCGAGACTGACCTCTGGTGTAAGCAGAACGGCTAGCTCGGTGCCCTGAAGCGGTGGACCGGCAGGGGACGGCCGTACTAGCTGCTCTAGAGACCTCCGTGGAGTAACTGAGAGAGCACTCGCCGGAGGGACTGTTGGGACTGCTCCCGCCCTGCTAACCGCCTCAAACTCCTCAGAGGAAGAGAGGTAAACGCGTGCTCTCACTCGAGAAATTTTTATCCCAAGAGCCCCTGTATATCTAACTTCTCATAGTCAGATAAATACTTCATTTTATTCCTCAGAATTGAATGCAGTCAAACAATCAGACGAGTAAATACGGTCTGTAGTAAGATTCACATCAAAAACCAAAATGATGTAATATACGCATTGCCTCGGCAGCGCGCGAGCCGCTCAGTCACACAAACAACATCAGTCTCCTCAGAGAAAGATGGCCGCAGCAGCAAGCTCTCACTCAGAGGGGGAAGAAACCGCAGCGCGGGCTTCAAAGCCTCGAGAACGAGCTCTAGATCTAGGGAACACGGGAGGAGATAGGAAGAGCCATCTCCAACCCGTCCGCCAGATCGTGTGCAATCCCCGCGATCTCAGTCGCCGCCGTGCCTCAGCAGAAGCGGGACAGCAATCGCAAGATCACAGGCACGGACACACTCCTCGGCAACTGACGAGCTCTTTGACGAGCTCTTTGACGTCCTCCGTATCAATCTCCTCGGAGAAAGACAGGCGGTGCATCGCGCCCTCTCCCCAGGGGGAAGGACCGCAGCGCTGGCTTCCGAAACCCCGAGGGTGGGCGCCAGATCTGGTGGTTAAGGAAGCAGATAGGGACTCGCCCGTCTACATTCCCTCCACCGGATCCATATGCGAAACCCACGAGCACAGCCGCAGCTCTGCCTCTGCGAAAGGGG